ATTAATCATAAAAAACTCAAATAATACACAATAAAAACTAATCAAATTAAAAAAAAATAACCATTAAACTAAAATAATGAAACATGACTTAAGAAAAAAAAAAGGACATCTTAAATCGATCATCACAACAATAAATATAATTACCGCAACTCATGCAAGAGAATCGTACTGGTTCTGCGCTGCGCAGCTACCCTAATTATATAATATCATGAGATATGCACTGTCCCTAAGCACTGTTACGTGCGTCACGGGTTTCGTGTCACGGGTTTCATCATGCGTCACAGGTTTCGTCATGCATCTTGAGTTTCGTCAATCCCAATTGTTTCGTCACAAAACCATGACAAACCATTGTGTCATTGCAACAATAGTTGCGTCAGGCATCATTAGTTATGGTTAGGATTTAAAAGTTTTAATAGTAAAATCGTTCACGGAAAACTTTTTGTTAATGCACAGAAGGTGGTTTCATATGTGATTTTTTATAAGCAATTTTTTACTAAGCGAACGTTTGCAATAAAAAATTACATAGTAATTTTTCTGGCAATTTGCTATGTTTTATTAATTTTTTAATTTACTGGTCTTAATAGTGATCAGAGCGAATGCAGTCAGACGCATCTCAAATGCCAATTATCGTGTGATGCGCATACCAGGGTAGAGTATGAAGTACGTAGTGTATGGTAATTCAGTCAACTCTATTCTTTTTAAATTCTATCAGTCAAGCCCATTTTTTTTAAAATTCTATAGCGACAAATAAGCATTTAATTACGACAAAGGTTTTTAGCATGAGGGTATCTGGGTCTCCATCATTTGTTAATTGGAATGATAAATGCTCTTGATCGACTAATCTAATCTCTCACCCATAAATTTTATTTCTGCCGGTATAAACTATCATTCATTAGATATTTGATTCGTTAAACTATTTTTCAACTAGTTAAAATTTACCTTCAGATCTTTTTCGACCGATTGACTAAGGCGCTTGAGAACACACACATAATTATTGAAGATTATCCTGCATTGCTGTATGCAAGGTTTGTGACGCAGTCAAAATTCTTTGATGTTAGGGTTAGGGCTTTATTAATACTAGAGATTATGCTATTATATAATAAAATTGCTCAAGGAAGGCTTTTTAATAATGCACGAGGAATAGTTTTATATGCAATTCTTCGAGAAAAAAGTGATTTTTGACGAAACAGACGAATATTCCTGTTTATGTAACTTTACACCTGATCTTGAAATCTGATTCGTGGCACACATTGAAGAACTGTTGCGTTAATTACTGTCGTAACATAATAAATTAAATTTTATAATTCAGGATTTAATTTTTGCAGCGTGATGATTTATATGGTCTAAAGTTTATTAGACTACATAATATGACAGAAATTATGTTTACTAATATACGTAAACAGAGCTGAAAATCTCCCACATGATCATGTTCTAGTTTAATAAATTAAAAAGGCTTTAAATGCATTTTAGCATTTCACTAGATAGGACAGGACATTAAACCCAAGAACTATGCAAAATAAAAAAAGATAAAAAAAAAAACAATGAAGAAAATAAATAATCATTTTATAATGGGCTAATTTACAGTTTAAGTAACAGTTCTTTTATAAAAAGTTCGCTCTATGTAAAATGACTTCGGACCTTCTTATGTAATCTCTTTGATGGGACTATTTAATGTGTGAGGCAATAAGGAACACGACAAAATCTATTTGGAGACGAATTAAGGTTACCCAATACTACATTTTTTGTTGATAAATTATCAAGATCTATTTTCATTTGAGCTGGAGATTTATTTCCGCCAGATGCAATCATCAAAGCAATCGTCCCTGCAACTAAATAATAGGAAACTTAGAATGAATTATAATTTACATAAAAATTTTGCTTAATATAATCTTTTTAATTACAAACCATGAGGTGTTGCTTGACTAGTTCCTGAAAATGTTAATAAAGATGCAGGACCTGAATTTCCAGCTGCAGTAATTAATGTACCTAGTTATAAAAATAAAATTCAATTAATGTAGATATAAAAGCATTTACTGTTCATTATACAAATTTGTGGAATCAGATCTTTTAAAAACGAATGTTTTTCTATAATATATCAAATTTTTTAAGAAATAAACCTGTTTATAGTTAAATTTGAATATTTAAATTAAAGATGTTAGGCAACTGTCCTAGACCGGGCCTGTCTGGACTAATACTATAGTTCATTAAAATCAGACTAGACTGGACCGGATACAGCTATTAACTTCTCAATTTAACTAAAGGATCAATTCCACAAATCTGTTGTAATGTACTGTACCACCAAATTTTAGTGTTTAATTTATTACCTGGAGCAAAGATATTAACACATGTTCCAAAGTTTGAGAAACTTGCAATAGTATCTGTAGAAGTATCGGTAGCTGCAACTGTTATGGCTTCTGGTGTTGATGCTGGCGAAGTTTGACATGCATTTATTGCAAAATTTCCAGCAGCGACAACAACATGGATACCATCATTAACTGCTGCTGTAACTGCGTCATTTAGAATCTGTGAAAAACCACCACCCAGAGACAAACTACAAAATAGATTAATTAAAGTTTATTGCAACAGCGAAATATCTAAATACAGAGATGATAGTGTAGGTAAAATATTACTTAATCACTGTATTCTTGTTAGAGCTACTTCTATGTTGGTTTCTTATGTAAGTTAATGCTGTAATGATATCACTGTTCTGGCACTGGCCTTGTGAATTACAAACTTTAATGGAAATTAAAGTTGTTTGTTTTGCTACTCCATAGCGAGTTCCTGAAATAATTTAAAATTCAGAGTTAAGCATTAAGAAATTTTCAAATAATATTTTATTGATAACATTTATTACCTCCAACCTGTTAATATAATTATTAGATTCAAATTCGTTTTAAATCATAAAAATAAGTATATGACATTGATTATTAGTGTCTGAATGTACGAATAAAAATTTATTATATTTACAATTCCTGCGACATTAGATCCGTGACTTTTAGAAAAATTTTTTTAAAAAAAATTAAATTATTTAAATTACAGAATTAAATATTTAATACGAATAGAAATCAAAAATGGATACCCATGATCATCAGAGTTTGGACATCCACTACAGAAGACAGGTCCTAATATTGCTCGTCCTCCAAACTCTACATTAGCTGTATTAATACCTCTGTATGAAGGAAACAGTATTTAATGTTTAGGTGAATAATTATCGTTATATCTTTATTTTAATTAGCACGGCAATTAATAACTTACGTATCAACGATATAAACATTTACTCCAGAACCAGATGTGATAGGATATTTATATATTCCATCCAATGGACGGTTTGGTTGATCAATACGATCTAGGTTCTAAAAATTTATATAAATTAAGTCATCATTAATGTTATTTCAAATAAAAATATTTTATATTGTGATTTCAAATTCTCTTAAAACTTAAAAGAATTATTAAAAAATATGCATACATTAGGGGCAGCAGGTTCGACTCCAGAAGGAAGAGGAAGACAGGCAGTAGTAGTAGCTGCTGTAGTTGTTGCTTTAGTAGTCGTATGAATTGCTGTAGTTGTTGCTCTAGTAGTAGTAGGAATTGCTGTAGTTGTTGCTTTAGTAGTCGTAGGAATTGCTGTAGTTGTTGCTCTAGTAGTAGTAGGAATTGCTGTAGTTGTTGCTCTAGTAGTAGTAGGAATTGATGTAGTTGTTGCTCTAGTAGTAGTAGGAATTG